AGCTCTCGGGAACACCCGTATCACCACGATAGTTTGGAAAGCGTTTTCCCTCCTCCTACACCTCCATTAGAGGACTCTCGCGGTGACCAGCGCTATTTAGTTGAGCAGCTATTGAACCACCGCGACGTGAACGGACGTCGGAAAAGTTACCTCGTCCGGTTGGCGCGGCTATCCCCCGTCCTGGGATACTTGGGAGCCCCGCTCCCAACTAATGATTGACGTACTGGGTCTGGTTGAGCAGTACGACGCGGCACATCCTGTGCCGCAGAAAAACCGCTGGAGAAAGTCTTCCCGGTACGGTCGTAAAGGGATTTCATGTTGTCAATCCCTTCGTACATCTCACTAGAGATACATACGCGCCACCACGGGCTATTAGAGAGGTAAGCCTCCTTAGGTGCTCGTGCAGAGTTGTTCACACAACATGGGCAAGATTCTCCCCATGATAGGCAGGGTAATCCTTTCTCCCTTGACAGACGATGCAGCTTGTAGCGTGCACCTGTCGGGGTTCGCTTTTCAAACTTATCACGAGCTTTGATCAGTTTGTCGTTCCAAGCGTCACGACCTACATCCTCAAGGTTATGGATGTAAGCGCTCCACGCTTAAAGCAGTGAGGGACCATCACGTTTGTGATTCCCACTGTACCATCGATGTCTAAAGAAAGCATCGATGAAGAATTCGTTTTCAGCGCGATAGTTTTTCGCGCTGGGGTCAAGGTGATGGATCCTTGACGAATCGAACAACCGTGTTCGATAACGATCACTCGTCGTCGCCGACAAGTGATCCACGACAGATTTTGGAGGCATCCATGCCTTCTTCTCAGGAGCGAGACGCAACACATTGCGGTCCCGCTCTTCCTGCGATGTGCCGACAGAAGTACTGGCACCTCGTTGCGAAGTGGTGTCCATAGGAGAACCGACACCACTGTTAGCGCCCGAGTCTCGCGACCTCGAGCGCCTTCGCTTCGGCGATGGTTCATCTGATGAATCAGATGAACCAAAGATGCTGCGACGCAAAGCATCATCCATGCCACGCTTGGCAGGCGGCTTGGATTCAATCGACGTCGATACGGATCCGTCTTCCGTATCAGGAGAGTATGAGACACCGAGCTCATACTCTGTGAAGACATGAGTGTCTTCATGACGAGCGCCTGCATCACCAAGTGACACAGGATGGGTCGCTTCAGCAACGGATGAGACATCTGTTGCTGTGGTTTCTGCTTCGGCGTCCGCACAGAGACGTGCGGACGCGCTCTCGGCGGCCTTGCTCGCGCATCACATGGGCTTGTTAACCATGCGATGAAATGTTGGGAAGTGGACTCGGACCAACAAGTGCAAACCCTGTCCCAAATGATTTGGGACGAGTATCTATTTAGTCAATCAGTCACTAAAGTGACTGATGGTTAAGGGGGGGTGATGTAACGGGGTGAATCGCTACATAACAATTTATAAGAAATTGCTAATAGAATTTAACTATAAGAGTCATGTTCTCAGAATATTGTCATAAGGACAAATATTCTGTAGCACTTACGAGTAGTTCCTAATTGGTTGATATAGGCCATTATATCAACCAACGAAGACGCGCCACGACAGACGCACGCAATGAGTGGTGAGCAGGTATTTCATTTACACATTTGTATTTAGACATAGTTAGATGAAGATAAATAGTGATTTATCAAGAGACATTAACTATGATAAATACAGTTCTACTTTTTACTTTAACCAAGTAATCGCTTCTTCCTACCGTCTTCCTCTGCACGTACGAGTGTACGTGAAGTTACGAGGCACCGCCTTATTCTGTCATCAGAATAAGTAGCTTGTACTGTCACCAGTACAAGCTTCAGGGTGACCCGTTACACTTTGTCAGTATAGAAAAGGAAGATTGATGGCGTGTAGGTCGAGGCGTTGGTGGAAACTGGAATGATCGACACTATTGAAATCAAACTAGTGCTCTTAATCGTCTGCTTGGTAAGCTAGCTGTGTATTGATATCCATGCGTACGTGAAGTGGATGATGAAGACAAGAGGCAAGTTTGTCCACAGCAATTTGACGATTTGTTGGCTGTGGACGCAATGACAGTTATCTAGGAGTAGGTTTGCATGGGCTTACGCCTGTGGATAAGGTGGTAGAGGCCGAAAACTCAAGCCCGTCGACAATAGAGCCTAGATGCATTAATTCGTCAGTCAATGAGATCAATCAAATGAACAACGGTAGCTGGCTATTATGACATCTGTTACGTGCAGACGATTGCCAAGATGACGGCAGTTGTCAATAAAAATCGAAGCACTAAAAATGCGTCGCTAAGTGGCCATCGTGGTCAACTTTCCAAGTACACGCTTCCAGCAGAACGCGTAGTTGTCAAGCTGGAACTTGTGCTCGATAAACGCTACTACAAAGGCATTCTGTGCTCGCTGGGCTCGATTAAATCCAAGTACAATGCCATGGTCAGAAAAATGTATACATACGTCGGAACATGTCCTGGCCGTACCCAATGGCTCTATATTTTGCTATCAACGACACAGTCGAAGAGGTGGTGCAATTTCCATCAGCAGAAGGGAAGATGTAGAATCGTCTCACGGATGGACATGGATACATAATATCGTCTTCCATAGCAGCCTACCTTTGTTTCGCGACATGCAACGTGCTGGCTTCGACTTAATGCTTTGGCAAGAGTCAGTGTATCAACAAATCTTGCCTGCTGGGTGATACAAGAATGCGGTGAAGGTCTCTGCGTTCACGACCGCCGACATTGACGCTGCTCAAGAGTACTCGTCGAGTAGGACCGGAAACAAAGGCGCGTGATATGTAATGCAAATCGCGTATCGGCTGCATCAAGGTCAGGTGGTTCATCAGTGCAGACGCCAGAATTTACAGCGGTCATATGCAAATGAATGAAGGAGGCAGAAGCGTGTGAGAGCGAGATGTGGCAAAAGAGTATGCTTGATAGTGTGTGTTGCGATCTATCAGGAGAGATGATCGGATACCCTGACCAACGAGCAAGTCAGAGTCACATCATAACAAGCGACCTGCGTCGACAGCGGGTTCAATGAAGTCGACAATGACGATCCCAGTACTTTGCTGTCTTCAGTCGCGTTCCTTCTGTATGGGTTTATTGGTTGACAACTTAGATTCGTCGGAGTCATGTAAATCCCATGATTTCTTCCTATGTCATGTAAATGTGACTAGGAGCCTGGCGTAAATTCGTACATTTCACTTTGTCAAGTATTTCGCGTAAAAATACTACAGAGGTAATGTTGCTGGAGGCGCGAGACATTCGCTGCCTGGAATCATCGAGTACTTGCTTAATTACCCCATTCATCCTTGCTCACTTTTGAGCCAATCATGTGCGGCCATTGGTGTGTGTGTGGCTCACACTCTTTAAGCGGTGACAAATAGTGACCAAAACAAGAATGAGACAGATCGTGCATGACTACTTATAAAAAGACGGCAGGCCACATCGTACTTAATGCAGCGTGCAAGGTACACTGAGTGTCATTTCCAGATAGACCCACAAATAAGCAGACCTAGAGTAGGTTTCGAAAAGCTCAATATCTACTTTGTGCACTGTCACTCCCCCCAGAGATATACACATGCATACATATGCGTATATGTATATTTCTCGATTGAAGTTACGACCCCGATCGTGATAGAATGCAGCTTCACCACTGCTAGCGCACATACATTAAACCGAGTCCAATCAAGGCAGTTTCCAAACTGTCGGCACTCAATCGACAATACACAGCTGGTGGATGCATGGACTTTGTCACTTCATCTTAGCCGAGCACAACATATGCCATCCAAGAGCAGATCGCATGGCTTCGCCTCCACTTTTCCGTCCAGCGAGCTGAGTCGTCAGTCACATAAGTCTAAACATGGTCGTGCACTGTCCCTCTCAATCGCTCGTCCGTCAGTCTGCTAGTATGATCGACAACATCATAAACTCCGCTCGCGTACAATTCAGTCAACGAGCTCATACAGACGTCGGTCCATCGCGTCTTTTTTCACAGCGATGCGCCAGCTCGCCATACCGTTTTGCCTCTTGTTTTGTCTCCCATGGAAATCGTTGCAGCTGTCAAGGCAGATGGGCATTGTTACTAGTCAACTTGAGCTTTAACACGAATTGGTAATTCGGACTTTGTCTGACGCCCGGGTGCAGACACTTTAACGAGGTTACTGACCGTGATACCGGTAAGCCGCGGTCGAGGCGGTCTGAATGATGGCTACCGCTACGATCGTACAATCAAAAGCGCCACGGCCGACGGTCCGAATCTATTTCCAAATGACCTCATGCAACGTCAGCGCTGAAGCGGAGACATTGACGGTCCAAACTCTATAAGCACTCTGCCATCCTCTCACGAAGATGACGGGAGGTTACCATCCACAGGCAGTGCTTTGACGCTCAACTCACTCGCCGGACGAGAACCTGACGACGACATGACAATTCTCGATTTGTAGTCGGCCGCCGGCGCTGGACGGGATGGAAAACACCGACAGTCCATGCGCCTGACGCCCGTCCCCGCGCTTCCGACTCTATTTAGCCCGTCCTCGCTGGGCGAAATTGAGTGGCCTTGGTTGTAGTTTGGTGCAAGTCGCTCCACTCGCTGACCAGGGAGAACTCGTCACAAGATGAGAGTTTTCCCGAAAGAGAGAAAAACTGAGCGCGTGTACTCGTTACTCGCGTCCCCGACGACAGTAGACTTCATGTCAATATATCACCTTTTCTTCCCGAATACCATCAGCTTTTCCAGCTGTTTGTGCGCGTTAAGTGTAGCGATGTAGCGAATGGTAACGCCGGGACGCTAACCGGCGATTTCACCGCAATTGCTTAGCTGCTGACGAAAATATATTATACTTTCACATGAAGTGCGGTACTATACACTTCAAATGAATCAGTGTCGCACGATTACGACCAGAAACGAAACGAATGTCGCGCAGGCGGCTTGATCGACGAGAACGGCCAGGCCGTTTTGTCGCGCTCCGACGTTACGGGGCGTTAAGTCACTGCTAAAACGTCACGCCGCGACCCCTACTTCGTGCTCCAAACGGTAGCAGTCTCTGATTGGCTAGCACAGTCTGTCCAAGTGACAAAAACGGGTCGCAAGAGAGCAGGAGCGATTAGGTCAGTGGCTGTGGCTCTGTGTGTGGCGCAGAGTCAGTTCGCGAACTGACTTCTACCCCGTGGAGAGATATTCTCGTCGGTCGCTCGCACTTTGGCAGAGACTGCGACGGGCCCAAGAACTCGAGGAACGTGCTTGAGGTGTTGACAGAATTCGTCTTTGTTAACAGGAAGTAGGCAGGTTCATCCGGGTGCAGGAGCTGCCGCTTGTTTCCAAGAGACTGTAGTAGTTTACCCAGTCCCGTTGGCATTATCTAGTCAGTCTGACGGACATGAACCACCGCATGAATTCCTTACAATTGGGGCGTCGCGGCCAGAGTGGCCTTGGCTTGAGCATCCCGGGACTGAATGTGGACATTGAGATGCTTGTGCAGAGCACGCAGGGCTCGGCCATGCACTTTGGCCGCAAGTCGTCGAATGAGAAATTCCACGGCTGGCTCTGGAAAAAGTCCGGTCGCTTCTCCAAGTGGCGGAATCAGCACTTTGTGCTTGACGGCGCCTTGCTCACGTACTACGACACGTTTCCGACGGACCAATTCGTCTCGGAATCCTCGCTGATGCCGATTCAAGGCGACAATTTATTCACGACCAAGAGCGAGTCGACCCCTGCTGGTGCTGTCCGCGTGGCGCACGTGGAGACGTCGCCCAAGTCCAAGATTGCGTTCAAGGTGTATGCAGTTAGTGGCAAGATCATTGATGTTCGTGCAAAGAACGACACGTTGTGCAGGCAATGGGTGGACCGACTGAACGAGGCCGCGGCTCTGGCCAAGCGTCAAGAGTCGCTGAACAATAGTACGACCAGTACTGCCTCATCGACCATTTCTATGGGCTACTCGGATTCTGAGCTGGAAATGCAGTGCAATATTGTGGACAAGAGCGGGTGGTTGGAAGTGGGCGATCGCAAGTCAAAGCGAGCACGATTTTGTGTGATGCAGGGCAACATGTTCACAGTGTACGATACAGAGGACGCGTGGGCTGTGCCGCTCAGTCGTGCTTACGTGACTCATGCCGAGAAGATCAGTGAGGCAACTTGTGAGTTTTCAGTGTCAACATCTGCTGGCAAAGTCAGTAAGACGCTGATCTGCAAGGCACGGTCGCAAGACGAGATGCACATGTGGATGGAGGCGTTGAGCAGTGCGTTTGATTAAGTTCTCGGACGGAGAGCACTATCGTAACGGATACCATTCATCAATCGCGGCTTGTGAATCGCGATACCCAGTGTAGTAGATGTGACGGCCAGAGCCAACGTCATTCGGTAGTCGAAGCGGCGATTTCAAGCATCCTAATATCGACGCCATAACCGCGACTGTCTCGGCTTCCCGAAGCGTCGTGGGGTAGCGAGTGTGTACGGCGTATTTAAATTATATACCGGCCGAACTGAGATCGGTGAGTTAGTAACACGCGTTTTGTCGAGATCACGTCGTAGATGGATGTGCAACCGATCGGTAGTTGCATGCACAAACACAAGCAAACCAGCATGCGACCTATGTGATGTAATTGTCAACCTCGTTTTTGCTTCGGCTAAGCCAAATTAAGTCATGCGTATTCGTCAAAGACAAGGGTTTGCAGCGGTCATGAGACTGCACACCAGTTTGAATGCATGAAGTGCCTTCGAATGGCCAAAGTGCCCACTGTATATCAGGTATCGTCATAGACTAGAAGTATATTGCTACAAATTGGTCAAACTTTGTGGCTTGACTTATAAATGCATGTATGTTATAGTGCAATGGCATCTTCTGCAAGATGTTTCGGGCTCACGTCACAATGAACACTCGAGGGACTCCGTACAGACACCGTTGCGATTGGAGTGATGTCGCTACTGAGTCACAATTTGGCCGAGTCTAAGTCTAGGCTGCCATTTGCGTCCAGATTGACATAAACCGATGGTACGCTTGCCTTTCAGATAAAGCGAACGTCGTTGAAACCGGTCAAAGGCAAACAAATCTGCGCGCGCTGTGTGGACATGTGCAGACAACGACGGAGAAATAGTGGCGGTTTTGTTTTCCTGTAACTTTTTCTCAATGTCTCGCAAACAAGAGACACGACTGAGCCATTCAGACTTCCTTGATGTAGAAGCTGTAACCAGAAGTTAGAAACAGCTGGACATCGGCTGCTCTTCTTACACAGTTTTCTACAGCAGAACGGTCTCACCTAGTGGTAAGGTCGGAAGTGACCTCCTAGCAGCCGCAATAAACGATGCACAGCCGACAGCTTGCGTTCAAATCCTCAATCTCGCGTGCTACATATGGACATGTAAGCAACATCACAGCACAGATATTACGACATAACGAAGCTAGTTTACCACTGACTCACCAAGGCTGGTCATCGATACTTCGATCTTATCCAGTGTCATCGTCATGGGCATGCATGAGGTTCTGAAGCCCGCGTCGATTGAGCCTCTGGTGTTGCTGCATTAGCACCATCCGACGCTTATCGCTGACGACGTCCATCGAGTTTTGGTCCAGCAGCTCTTGACGAACTTCATGCTGCAGTGCGTATAGAATCTCTGTCATCTTTGGGCGGCGTCCCGGATCGTTGTCTAAACAGCGTGTGATGAGTTTACGACGGCATGGTGAACACGAAACCGGGATCGTTGGCCTCAAAGCTCCGCGCGACACGCTCATCATGATGTCGATCGTCGTGTAGTTCTTGGGAAGGTCATGATAGGGTTCATGCCGAGTCTCGAGCTCTACAAGAATTACGCCAAAGCTGTAGCAATCCACTTGCGTGTCGTAGCGCTCCTCGCGCAGGATCTCGGGCGCCAGCCAGTACGGTGTGCCCACGATAGTACTAAACAGTTTTCCAGGTAGTAGTTGTCGCTTTGACTCGCCAAAATCTGATACCTTGCATGAATATGTGCGTGTACACAGCAGGTTTGAAGACTTTAGATCACGATGCACGAGCGGTGGGTCGCAATTATGCAAGTACGATACCCCTTGTGCCACATCGGTAGCAATCTTTAACAAAGGATCACTCCAGGCTAGCGCGATAGAGCTGCGCAGCAATGAGAGCACGTCGCCTCGTTTTAGGTATTCCATGACAAGTCCGACATTCGATAGGTTGTCGAAGGTGGCGCCGATGAACAACACAATGTTTGGATGCCGTAGACATGCCAGCAGTTCCACTTTGGCTTTGAATGCAGCAAGGCCATCAGCCACTAAACATGACTGCGCCAGCCGCTTCACCACGACCTCCGTCTGGTGATATTCGCCAACCAAGACCTCACCATTCGGCGTCTTGGCGATAATTTCTTTCAGCTTCAGATCAGCGAACGGGATGGATACTGTCATGATCAATTCCATGTCTCCAGTGGCGCACAGCGCTTGCTTTAACGCTTCCTTCTCATCTCGTGTCATGGTGTTTCGATTTTCAAGACCAAACTGCTTCACGGAAAGATCGAGTTTCAGTGTTGTGTTGATACGCTCAGCACGCACTTTGGAAGCGTACGCCATACGTGCAGCACGGTCCTCAGAGTATGTAGCTGTGAGCGTAAAGCAGGTGGGTAGAAATACGCACAGGAAAAAAAGAAATGCTTCGTAACTCATTACACGTCGACTTGATAGAATCATTGGGGTTGCGCCCAGAAAACACAACATCAGCGTAGTAACCCACTCCGCCACAGCCAGCAGCAGCACATGAGTAAAGTCCAGCTTCATTGCCACCGCGACGATACCAGCAAAAGCGGCCAGCACTGCCAAGACACCCATGAGAAGCGAGTACGCCAGCTTGCTATCGTACAACTGGAGCCACGACAGCATAGTCATTTGTTCATGCGATCCCAAGATTTTCTTCCATTGGGACATACTGTACCATGACAAAGGCACCAACGTATCAGTCGCGCAGACCATTCCGTTCGCTAAGCTCTGCTGGAAGTTTTTTCTCATCCCGACCAATACATGGTGCACGAACACGGCCAGTCCAACAGACCAGCACAACACAATAAGCGTGGCAATCAATTTCCAATGTCGTCGGATATAGTAAACCCCAATCCGTAGACTCATACTGCCTTCAAAATACTTCAATGGCAATATACCATAAATGACTGCAAAGGGCGCAAAACTCCACAGTAGCCACGTGAGTCCTGTGTCTTTTGAGGTAGGCTCGACATAGAAGACGCAGCTCGTCTCAGTCTCATTAAGCGTCGACAGAGGTGTCTCCTGTAACAACGACGCGACGATGTCCACCCACGTATAGTCGTTTCCTGTTGGAGAGATGCACACCTCTTTCAGCTTATGATATAGAAAATAGGCAGCTCCTTCAAAAGCCACGAGAGCCAGCATGAGTCGACGCGCGACTGGGAAGTCCACAGTAGAAGAATAGAGTTGATACGACTCCTCTAATCGCTCGTCTCGAAAGTGGTTACTCAGTAGTTTCAAGTCCACGCGGGGGTCCATGTGCGCTTGCCAAGTGGAAGATCCTTGAGCAGATAGTAATTGAGCAGCATTGCTGAGGATACGGGACGTTTCAGGCACAGTTTCTCCGTCCCGAGAGGAAGAAGCGGAAAAGCTATGGAGAGACGACTCCGACGATGACGACGACGACGACGCCGACGTTGAGCGCTTCTCCTTGTGGTGGTCTTCTATGTCATCGTCCATATTGCCATCGTCGGATGCGATTCGTCTGTAGACAGCGCCGCCGCCATCGTCTTCCTGCTGCTGGACATCCAGGCTCTCGAGCTTGGTGAAGGTCATTATTCTTCGAGCTGATAGGCTAAAAAGCCAGATCTGCAACTCAACAAAATAAAGGACTGTAAACCACGAATAGAGAAAGATGGGTGTACCCATGTGTCTATCAGCATCATTAAATACATGTGGGTTAATACGTTAGAGGCGAACGTGATCTCAAATGTCCGCGAACGTATTGACAGATGTAAGGTCTTACAAATTTCGAGTGAGAGTCGCAGCCGCATCCATCAAAACATCCACTCGACAATTACAGCCTCGCGACACAAGACGTGATTATCCGGAAGACCTACGTGTATACACGACGTGCTCTAGCGACGAAAGCATGATCAACTCGACTCGACCGATCCTCATTGGAGGCAGCGGGAGCCAGCGCGGCTCCCCCATGACGCGAAGTCCCAACAGCGTGGCCATGGTGTCGCACTCGCTGCCTGCAGACATGCACCACGTCCATCTGGCGCGCTTCATGACGAGCACGAACGGCGCGAGAGCCAGTGGACTGCAGCCACCAAGAGCGCCATTAGTGGGTTCGATGCCGGAGCCTCATTTCTTACAGTTAGAGAGCATGCCGGACTTGGCACTGGGTCCACCTGCTGCGACAGTTGAAGAGCACTTTTTGCCGCCACGCGCACCTGCTGTAGTTCAGGTACAGCACACAAGATACATCATGGCTGGAACAAAAGTCGGTTTTCTGTATTGCTCATTATCCTGAGGTTTTATCATGTGTCTTGTCTAGTTTGCTAGTTCATGTCCAGGGAATGTTGCATTTCTGAGGAGTAACCCGACAAGAAGCTCGTGGACGCCGACACTAGCCCCACATGCAGCTGAGCACGATGATTTTGATCTGTCTAAGAGTCCTGCGCTTGCTGCATTAAGAGAGAGGATGCCGTCTGTTGGGCACGGATGCGATGACGAGAACGCACGGCAAGTAAGCAACGACGCATCGTATCGATCATCGGGCTCGCGAATACAGTCTTCAAGACCTTACGCTGTGTCAGGTGAGTCGTCGAGCTATGCAGTGAGTGCTGAATTGTTTGAGCGACTCAGTATTACGTCAGAAGAAGATGAAGAGAAGGCAGAGGATCGAGACGAGCACTACCGCATGCCAAGGTATAACTCGCAGATATCACCAGAATTGAGGCAAAGGTCCGAGCGTCACGGGTCGTATGGAAATTTGTCGGAAACTGGTGACACCGGCATCTTCGAATTCGATGACCAGTAAAACTTTCAGGCATTGAGTGCGACGAATAAACCTAATATGGAAAAGTCAAAGACGTGATCAGCGATATCGGGCAACAAGATCTCAGCGTCGTTGATATGAGAAGGATGAGAGTGAGCTAGCCGTACCGTCATTTGTTGATATGCTTACGGACGTGGCTCGCAAGTATAGTAGTGATGAAACCACCTCGCCTGGACTTGAGACGACTCATTGCAGCGGTATCGAACACTGTCTCGGCTACTACGTACCACTGCTGCTTGTGGGTAAGCATCCAAGTGGGAATTATGCTGGACAGAGTGCCGTTCGGAAGAAGCTGTGCGGGCAACTCCTAGGAAATTATGGCTTCGCAAGAGTTTGCACTCCACATGTTCATGAACTGTAGCATGTATAATCAATTAATTTCTGGTAATGTGACTCATCAATGGACCAACATCCTAGTATGCACACGGATAGGTTGGTTTAAACTCGCATAGTGTAGCAAATGTCCATTGTGTACTAGCCGCGAGATACAGCATAGCATCCTGGCAGACGACGCCACAGCGTGTGTACTTCATCAGCGTCTTCTAATAAATGTCCCTTACCAAAGTGTCCTCCGTCCGACGTTTGATTGAACCAGGCTAAAGTACGGATAACAAACAGCGAACTTGTCGCGTTCTCCATGAGACTTGAAATAGCACTACACCGGACACGTCTTCGGTTAAGGAACCTCGCAGAATCCAGTCTATCGGGATTCAAGAAAAGTTTTGGCTGTCTATGGTGACGTCGCGCACGGAGTTATCATCAAGTTTGACTCGCGCTCAAATGTGTCGACCTTTTTTGTCCGGATTGACACATGACAGTCGATTCAATTGCGAATAAGGCACGTTTTCTTTGAATAGATCGGAATACAGAGTAAACACGATATTCTTAACAGATGCCCGTCGTATTTTTCTCCTTGTTTTAATTTGTTTGGAACAAGTGCGGAATAAGCTTGGCATGCTATTTCTGTAATTTTCAGAAGATTGTTGCAAATGAGGCTTGCAAGTCGAAAGCTCGCTGACCTATCAGCGACATTTATGAGCTTGATAAAAAACGAGTACAGAATACGATAATGGATAACCCCCACAAACGATTCGATATGGCATGTCTGCGCGACAAACGTACGTCGGACAAGCGATTGATCGGACGCATACCGATTAGATGTGGCAACGCACTACCGTCAAATATCACTTCATTCTGCGTGTGCTTCGCTGGCATCCAAAGTTGGTCTGCTACGGTATGCATGATAATTTTATGTCAATGATGGATTAAGGGGCTCGCAAAATCGCACGCTGGTGTAGAATGGATCCACTTTGGTAGGGTCCCGGAATTGTCAGTTGCTTCGCGTTTGAGAAATTGTCGTCGTCGACGAAGGATAAGCATCGAGAATATTACAGCTGATGTGTTCAGTACCTCATTGCAATCAAGCGCAATTGAAATTGCAACGTATGTGGAACCCCCCTGGCCTTGATGACGTCGTCTTCGCTGTGCGTGCACCTAAATGTGGACTGTTTCGACTTGTTGCTAAGTACAAGTTTATCAACTTGTTGATACGCACAAGTGAATCAACTTCTCGATACAAACTCACCAAATGTAGCACACGTACCTCGGGATGTTCGCAAGCTTTTGTAAAACGATGTAGTGATCAGCAGACGACACTATACCGTCACCTTATCGTTTCTTCTACATTTGCAGGTCTCATTGTCAAAAGTTGCTACCGGTTCACCTAAGAATGAGCCAATAGGCTTGACGACGCTGACCAGGTTCATTAGGATGCAATAGACGATTTATTCATCGATGAGGGATGTCGGGCAAGTGCGGACTGAAGGTCGAGTGATGACCTTTAAACTGGCTGACGAACACATAACCTCTGCATAAAAATTAGGCTGGTACGACAGAAACGAATTAACCTCTGGATGCGAATGCGTCTGGTCGACTACGACCTAGACGTCTGTGCCTCATCTTTTCGTGCGTATAATGAGCAGACATTGCCACAGATACCGTGTACATACTACAGGAGCAAATCTGTGCTAAGATTGATGTACTTCAATGCGTCAATTTCTACAACAGGGATGAAGGTCCAGAAGAGTATGTACGTATGAACGATGAGAGTAAATTTATGACTTTTAGTGCATAAAGAGCAGCAGTCGTGGTTTCGTCACTGATGCATCCACTCGATCTAATGGAGATTCTAAGGCTCCAGAAATCACGATACCGAGGATATTGCGCTGGGACATGGCGTTTGGGGCGTCTGTCTGTGGTTATGATATTTATTCGCGCCCTCCATTGTAAAAATGATCATTACACGGAAGGTCACCAGATTGACTTCCTCTATTCTCCCGACTCTCTTTCCTAATGTCGTAGCAGTCATTTGGTTCCATCAATTTAAATACTACCCACATCTACCGTTTGTGGTTCGCGTTAACACTATCTTTGCCACTCTATCACTATAGCGTTTCAACACAGAGGTTCAAAGGTTCATTGAATTCTGCGGCATCTTTACAAGATTCGGCAGACATGCCCCGCATGAAATTTTTATCGACCAAATGACATATTGACCATCAGTTAGGTACTTTGATCGTCATCCTACACTTTATAGACGCCACGGATATCCGTGCTACCAGAGCCGATGTTTATAAAGCTCGCGAACTGCTTTCAAATGTGCATATTGAAGCATCCAATACCATCAGCAGCTTTGGCCATACGACTATGACCAACAAGGTAGGCAGAGACTGCGCAGTTTAAAAATTCGTGAAAGGGCACGACTGAAGCTAGTCTTCTTTGCATCTTGTATACGTCAACTTTTAAAGTACAATTGCCCTTTTAATCGAATTGAATAAAATACTACAAATAAGACAAATATTTGGTCGAACAATTGGTGTATCTGATAAAAAAGAGGCATTTATTAAATTTGAATTGTTTCATCTTTTTATATATTGATAAGGCTCTAATAATAAATAGAATGCAACATTTGAACCGAGATTTTCCACCGCAGCATGTCCATTTGTGTGCATTAAACATGTAAACAGCTTCATCAAGTGATCATGGACGACAACCGTTGGGGTATTCTAGACAACATTGGCTCACTCTGTGCAAACCTTTAGTCCGTTCCACTGCTCGAACGATCGCCCGGTGGTAGACTAACAGCAGCCGCAATATTCGAATCTACGACTGTGGTCGACGTCGATGTGGCCAAGGCTCTTTCGCCCCCTTGTGCTCCTGATGCGTAGTTCGAGCGGACAAAACTCATCTCCTCAGCCATAACTTGTGAAGCCACGGCCGAGAACTCTCGTTTAACAGGTTCGATAAAAATTTTCTGCCCGGCGAACTTGTTAGACAGATGACACAGCATTGATGGTTCCACAAACACATTGTATAACGAACCTTAATGCGGTCATCGAATCGGATGATAAATTGGAATAAGTTGACGTCCTCGGATGCACTGACGTCCTCGACCAACTTGCTGTAAATGAGCGCCAAGATGTCACATAGAGATAGCAGTACTTCTCGGTAATCGAGCGGAAATGGCTGCCAGCATACAAAATGATGCATCAGCTGATGTATCCTTGCACAGTATCGTAAATAACGGCGACGCCAGTAGCATAAGCAACGTACGATAGGAGGCGTCAGGAGACGGCGATATACTGGTCGTTGGTTCCACTTGTACACAGTTGGTCGGAACGGCTCACTACTAGAATATTCCAGCCCGTTCTCCGTGTCAAGAGGCTCATAAAGCGTACTCGACGTCGCCACCATCATTTTCTATCGTAGCAACCAAAACCTACATTGTCAGACTTCAGTACACACCCGCGTCTTAATCCACGACATCACATCCTCACCAAGCCTTGTACCGTCGAGGATGCAAAGTGAAACTCGACTTCTTCCAGCAACTGGCAACAATCCATCGCCAGCCGCTCTGGGCGCGTCAATCCTCCAACTAATGTCCCCAATCCATAGCCAAGATAGAAAAACTGCGCTCCACGACGGACACTTTGTTTCTCGCCAACGTGATTCATCACCTGCTGCTCCCTTAACAATGCCACGTTGAGCCAGAAGTTCGAGCCTTCGTGCATGGTCTTCAGGTAATTCCAATCCGAGCGTCGATGCTGTACCAAATCCTCCAAGATCTTCACCCTCTGCCTTGCCAATGTTCGTTGACTGGCCTCGGCCGCTTCCGCTTCGGCAAGAGCGGCCAATGTGTCAACTCCAGGGTCTACTCCAGTACCCGACCGTTCGTGAACGTCGTCTGCATTGCTGACACTGGAGCTTCGCGACGTGAACAGCAGCGAGCCAAGCGACGACGACGCACTGGTGAAAGACGACGTCAGACCTGAAGTTAGTGATCCTGCAGCAGCGGCCATTGAAGCCAAAGAGTCGGTAGCATAACCACCTTCGCTCGACTCTACCGCACCCGTCTCAGGTTTAATAGCAGCAGGCGACTTGGACTTGAGCTTCGGACTCTTTTTACCTCGAGGCGATAGCAATTTCCGTCCACTTTTTGAAATGGTAGAGCGAGCAACTGCAGCCATGGAACGCGCAGCGAAAGAAGCTTTGGCGGTAGACGTGGGCAGCTTCGACCGGTGCGCGCGACTGTCCGTCTCGACCTCGTCGGAAATTGCGATTGGAAGGGTGGAGTCTTCGGCTAGGTCTTCACTGGACCAAGTCGGGTAGTCGGGTATAGCTGAAGGAGGGGGAGGGAGAGAGGCCAGCACGTCTCGCTCGCTCAGGGGTGTATCCATGACGGTAGCAGTTCAGACGATGCGAAGAAATGATTATTTGCTGTAGCTTTAGAGGCGAGAGAGACTGTAAATACGGTCTTTCTAATCTAACCAGCTCTAATTACTATCGGTCGTATCCTGTGTGACCGACGATCATGGCACTGTTTATAAAAAGCTGAGATGGTGGTATTGAAGGAGGTGGATGGAGGCTACGAACTTGCGGTCGAGTGAACAGCAGCGACGGATTAAAATAGAGAAATAATGACGAGTGAAACGTATTCTAATCAGTTCTGAGTTGAAGCAGTTGCGAAATGGTGGGTATGTCAGTCTGGGACCGCTGGTAACCACTTTCCGAGGACGAAGGTCTAATTGTGAACAGATTAGCATTTAGTAGCCACGTTTCGAGGGAGACGCGTGGATAATGTCAGCGTAAGATGGATAGCATACGTTGCTTTGCAAAAACAAAAAGTTTTTGATCGTCACACCACGTCTAACAGTTATAGAAGCTACAGAAGTAAATTGAAAATAAATGACTAAAAAAGGGATGCTGGGAGTGCTGACCAGTAGTAGTCTTGTTATTTGATATTTTGAGGGAGGGTCCACGTACCCCCTTCCCTTATTAGGGCTGTACCCCATCCAAATACAGATCCCTATTAAAGCTTAAAGACATCCACGTTGTGCAGAGTTCATCTTGACCAGTTTAAGTATGCACAAAATTATTTTGCAACTACCAAATAGTGACGAGAAGAAAAAATGACCTAGATGAATAAAAAAAAACTATTCCATGTCCTGGTATACTAATATTGACCGTGGCACACATGTACCGACAGTGTATTACGAGGAATGACGTCAGTTTCTGATCACATTCTCCAGCAAGATGCTGATCTGTCTGACTTTCTAAAACATTTGAGTCTGAATACAGTCACGCGAATATGCACCGCGACAGAGTGGACTTATGCTACGCTCGCGTATCAATGCTACGTTACGTCAGAACTATTTGAAAATGGCAAAAGGCTCCAAACTATATGCCGTTGAGAAAACTTTTGTCGAATCTAGCGGTTTCGTAGGCCCTACAACATCGACAAGCACCAGTAATTACTACTTATTTCCTTTCTAAGAAAATATCTAGTGAATCTGTGGCACATTATAGCAAAGCAGTAGGTAGTGTAGCATCAAATGTGACCATTAAAGGGCTGCATAATAAGTGCTGACGGATGCAATGTCTCCAATTCAAAGAGAAATACTTGTTGAATCCGTACGTATCACTGCAAATGATTTCGTCTTTAGACTATGACATATGCTGATGTGAGTGAACACTTCGCCCAAATCGATCCCCTTTTTTGTTAGTCATTACATTCGTGCAATCTCCACGTCCAGCGTGATGTTGTTAAGCTTTGACGTCATTAACGGCACCGGTAATTTCCTGCAACATCACCAAAATGTCTCCATCCCGGTAGGGCTTTGTATCTAGTCATCATATTGCTTTGAATCGTAACTTCATATTGTTCACAGCTTTAAGCACGACGTATAATAAGACACCGATATCGTATTCACAGCTTTAAGGACGATGTTTAATAAGACACCGGTATTGTATTCACAGCTTTGAGCACGATGTATAATAAGACACCAAAATTGTCTTCCAGAGTAAGTGATACTGACATGGCAAATGCACATATAATAATGTCAAACCAGAACGTGTGAACAAACCATATCTAAGCACCTTGTAGTACAACAAGACAATAAATAACTGTGATAGATAATACGCCTAAAGAAGTCGGATGGATATCGGCTACATAAAATAGTAGCAATCGGATAGGGTAGATTCATAATTGCCTTTTGCAAGGGTTGTATTGTACTAATATAACTGCAGTGTATGAGCAGGAATCAAAATCTAAACTCACAACAACAAACAGCAACAATGGTAACAGCAATAACACCACTAGGACTAGGAAAGGCAAAAGGTTTCCGGGTAACTATTTTTGCTCTACCTTTTTCGTACCACTACCTTTACCCGGATGGTATGTGGCTACATTTACATCCACCTTTCTCTTTCCTTTACCTGGGTAATTACCCGGTAAAAGCATTTCGAACGGTTGATAAAATACGTAGATTCGAAGCTGCATTGATGATAAGAAGACATCTTCGGCCTATCAAAATAGTTTGGGAGGGTGGAATGGCGTAGGATCAAGTTGTGTACGCCAGGTGGTAAAGCGAGCGCATTTCACTCTTGTAGTATTTATCAGCGCTCACATTCGGCTTCAAATACCATGTCGGCGAATTGGTAGTGCATCAATTGAATAACCCCATCGTCAACGATCTCCTCGTCCCAACATTTTCTGGTCCATCTCGAGCTGCTGGACGACGGACTGCACGTCATTGTCTCCGGACTGTACGGGTGCAGCTGCGCTTGCGCTTGATTCACCGTCACTTTAAGGAAATTTGCACCCATCCATGAGCACAGTAAATCTCTAAAATTATATATATACATATATCTATATTTATATGCTACCTTAAAAAAGGAGCACCGTTTTCATGTATTTAAAGAAATACCCACCCATTATTTATATCCGTGTATTATGTTCAACACTTATGCAAGACGCAAAAATGGGTGGGTGGTAGCTGGCGCCGTTTCTAGACATCAAAGTCGGTGTTGTCGCCGCCGAAGTTGAAGCCCTCCTAGAATGTATAGTCTTCGGAATGCAATCACGTGCAAAGACGTGTGCTTGATGTGTAATGGGTTGCTTCCTGCCTTCTGGGAGGTCAGAACTTAGCAGAACGCCGTGGAACATTATGTATTGGACTTCGTGGCTGCGAGGCATCTCACAAGTTGCAAAATACTACACAGAAGCCCTTAAGTCAGACGTAAATATTTGTAATCAGTAATTACTGGGTAATCGGGTAATGAGATCGGCTTTACCATTACTCTACCCTTTACAATACCCTTTGACTACCCTTAACCTTCAACCACTGCTTTTTACCGTTTACAAAGGGTGTCCTACCTGAAACACCACCAACTATAATAGCAGTAGAAAAAACACAGCGACATCAAAAGCAACAACAACAGCTACATCATTACAAATAACAACAACAGCAGCAGCGACTATAAAAACAGGAGCAACAAAACCAATGCAATCGGCATCAGCAAAAAAAGGCAACCGATATAAGAAAAAAGCTCACAACAACAACAACATGAGCAATATCACCAATACAATCGTCATCAGCAAAAAGCAAAAGAGATAAGATAAAAGCTCACAACAACAATCTCCGTAGCTGTAGCCTTACCAGTAGCAGCAATAACGCAGCTGCAAAAGCACAAAAGATACTAATGATATGGGAAAATAAAAATGCCCTCTTTATCTACGATATTTTGGGATGCCCCGGATGGTTAGAAAGCAAAACTACCTCGGACAGTTTAGCGATAAATATGCCCACGTCTTTGTATAATTAGCGTGGTATACATAAATAACACATCTAGTCAAATCTTATTTCCCATTGCGCGGCTGTGCTCGACTCCTGCCCCGTAGGGGAGCCACGGAGGAGGTTCTTCCGCGGGCGTGCTGCGCTCCTGGCGACTAATTGTGGGCGCGGACGGCACAGAAAATATCGAACCCATCTTTGTATTCTCATTCGCGGCCATAAATGTAGACAACCGGTGCTAATGTCGATATGATTTAAAATTTTGTTCTCTGTCGTTTTTATTGTTGTGTTTTTTTTTTCTCATGTTACGACAGGAACTATTGTTATCTTTGTTTCATTTGCCCATGTCGTTGTCACTGCTACCGCTGCCGCTGTATCCGTTGTTGCTGTAATTATTACATGATGTTCCTGTTGCCTTTGTTACTGCTGCTGATAGTGGTGCTGCTGCTGATGTCATTGTTATTGTTTAGGTCATTGCTGACGTTGCTTTTATTTGTAATGGGTCTATTATACACATAAGCACAAACAATCACATGGAGGCAGGTTCTGTGCCCGAAATAGCGGCTACAGAATGGTAAATTATTTTTTGGCTCACTATTCTTCAATTAATACTTAACATAGACCTGTAATAAAATCACCGATCAAAGAGTGACTCCCGAAAGGCGAACACACGATCATACTGATAACGAATACAAATCTTCGTAGTTAGTACGAATTAAAAAAAAATCAGAGCTAACAATTCTTACTACCTAGGACTTGGGCTTGAACTTCTCTCAGGCGCGCGTGTGAGCTAGTAACAGGGACGCTCTATATCCGTTACACCTGATAGCACTTTGTAGTCCTTCTTATTCTCCGAGTTTAGGATGAGCGAATTGTGACTATATAAGGAGAGCTTTTCGTCGTAACGCTGATGAGATCAGCGACCCCTGATGGACAGCGCCTCTTTATTCATGATCTTATGGCTCGCAATCTCGTTGAATCAAAATAGGGAGGTTTGATCCCCGGTGATATCCACGGAGCGATTCCGTGAAAATGGAGATCTCCAAATACTCTGTAGAAGGTGCCGATTGACTGTCGCTGAGTCACTAATTGTGAGAATTCGACATTGACCTCGCCTTGAGACTTGTCGAGGCACATCAGGCGAAGATCAGTTTTTTACCTTTCCCGTTCTTTTGGAATATTCCAAGTAATGGGCCTTTGGTAAGCTCCACGTGGACGAGCACGCATTCCCCACCCTAAATGCCATCCAGAATGCTCTTCGTCTTCCCTTTGAGCGACCAACAGAAGAGAAAATACTGCGCTCAAGGCTTCTGTTAATGAGACAAGGTAAATTGAGTATGCGCGACTACGTGTATATGTCTCGGCATCTGGCGTCGTTTATCTTCACGCATGGACAAGTACACGCAGGTAGATGTCTTTGTTGATGTCATGCTTGAGGGACAGACCCGCTAATCGCTTTAATGCGCGGAGTCTTCCACATTGAAACCCCGTTTTCTTTTTCCTACTCGAGCGCTTTAGAGGTACTAAGCTTACATCAAGCCTTCGTTTGTCACAGTTACTCGACCTTCCGGCTCGAAACCGATTGAGATCGACGTGACCGACAACGTGTGACTCCCAACAAGGGCGACTACATACAAGGGACGACTCCCACTTCGATAATCAAACGTTTTGATTAATTTCGAATTCCAGGGCGTCGCGCGACTGAGTGCCATGTATTAGCGCCGCTATCGTTGGGAGAGGCGAGCGCGCTTCACGGGGCACTGCACAGCCGGTCGTCCAAAATTGACTGGAAAAAGTAGGCGCAGGGAACCCTACTGGTTTTAATGGAGGTCCGCCCCCTGGTGGCAGCCCAATGTAGATTTCTCCTGTGATGAGTGCACATATATATGCCACCACAAAAAGTGATGATTCGCGTCCAACCATTGTGATTTTACACGTCGCAGGTGTCCGAAGACCTCTACGAGAGCTGTTAGAAATGAATTATAATACCTTTTAACGCGAATCTTGTAAAGTTATGCTGCCTCCTAGCATTCAGGTCCGTGAGGGACCTGGCAAAGTGGCCATAAAGATGGCTGACGGGAAATCACACCACGTATCACGTCGCGAAGTGTCGCTGTCCTGTACCAATAATGATTTTTGCAGCAATGATAAATTGTCGGTGACCGAGCGTCTTCCTGAGAATTTGATTTCTTGCAGGTATGGTGGCGTCGTTTTAGATTGTTACACGCATGCACTATCCGCCATCCTTTTGTTGCCTTCTTCACGCAAAAAGTTTTACTCGAGTGTGGTGAGACACTCTCACGCGCATGACCCGCCTTAAGGAGCCCTTCGAAGAATTTTTCAATAGCCTCGACTTGATCTTGATGCAACGGCCACTGTCACGTCACACAATATTTCGAACCTGGCACGAGATCAGTCTCGTGCTATACATCACTATCAGCATCAGCTCAGCAGGCATCTTATCTAGAAATACGTCTGCACACTCACAAGCGATATCGTACACAGGTTTGTTGACTCTTAGAGAGCTTCCTATGAATTTGAAGCAATCATTTCTTCTCGAGCTGAAATCAGTCAGATCGAATAGGACGTGGCAAATGCTCATCATTTGGCTCGATAACCACGTCGTTGGTAATAAAGCATACCTGTTCGATTGGGACTCCCTTAAGTTCATATAGAAAATGTTTCCAGCAGAGTCCTGGAAGGTCTGTTTTCGAAGACACGTCGTGAGGGGGACTTGCGGCTTTAATGTATTGGCGTCGTTTTGGAGTCCACAACGACGCCAATCCATGTTTACGGTAGCGTGGATATACTTAAATGCTAAGTTTTGGATATTCGCGTATACATCGTGCTACGAGTCGGTTATAGAAGCTGTAGAACCGCGGTTAGGTGAGGATAAATGTAACGGGGTTGCACGAAATTATGGTACTTTGTACCAGAGGTGTTACACACCTGAGGTTCCCCTTGGTGAAGGTGATATAGAATACTTTATCGGTTTGTAGGGGCTGATGAGTGTCAGCCATTAGGTACGAAAGATCTTTGAGTAGGTTTAAGATATTCTATAGGCTTTAACAAAAATAAAATCAGTTCCCATTTTGATCTGAAGGACACGTGGCTTGCGAGCCGTCTTGATCGTTGATCACTGATCACTAAGAGCTAGCGACACCTCCTTTAGGTAGCTAGTCTTGAGCACTGAGTGATGTCGATTCACTGAATCGTTAGGTCCCCCAGGAACAGGGACCTGAAGCTGTAAGGCATGTTAACTCGTAAAGTCGTTAGTTCTTTGGAACTAAGTTGCTTGTAGAGCGTTAAGTCTTCCTCTGACTTTAGGAGCTGTGTAGCTCCTCTATGATAAAATACTCCCCTCCAGGCGCTGAATTTTCTCATACATGACGACGGAATCACGTGAATGGAGTGATTCATGATCGACCGTCGACGCTGGATGCGGAATCCCCAGTTCGGCCGCCGTAATCTCGTGTGGGCGCCCATGCTCGACCACAATTGGCCCATGTTTGAAGTGCTGTTTAACACAGTGGGTGATAGTGAGAACCCACGTGAGACCTTCATGCTTGCAAGTAAGGACTCCCGTCCGGCCACGTCGTACACGTGTGGGATCTCCTGATCGACCACAAGTTGCCCTTGTGGAAAACTCGGGACGACCACAGTGGGTAATGATGGGAACCCTGGTTAAATTGTCATGCTTTCGCATGGTAACTCCTGCTCATCCATGTCACTTTCGTCGATGAACTCATGCTCGTCGTTACCTTGGTCATGTGGAAGTCCCTGATAACGTAACGATAGGCAAATCGCTGAGGTCGTTCTCAGCACGTCGGCAGACATAGCATTTCCCACATGGGAGTCGCTCAAGTCACAATTGGTACAGGTGTTTTCTCCACCTAACCAGGCTTACCGCGTGCGTTCACGCTTTCTTTCTACCCGCCAGGGTAAGAATGAATTATCGGACTATGTCCAAGAGCTGCGAACGCTCATGGCTGCAATGCAGTCTGACCCTCTGCCTGAAGCAGTCCATGTGACTATCTTCATGGTAGGCATACGTACTGGCATTGCCAGAACCGAGGTTTTTCGGGTTCACCCCTCTACGTTTAAAGAGGCTGTAAGAATTGCTTTTAATGCTGAGCATAACTTCAAGTCGGCCAGACTTGGTTGGAATGAATACAATCCTCGCTCTGTGAGAGCAAACTTTTCGGGTACCACTGCCTATAATAGGCCGGAACCGATGGAGATCAGCTATGATGAAGATGGAGGTGAAGCTGAGCTTCAAGCTGCTGAACAGCAACACTTCGTACGACAATGTTTTACGTGCGGAAGCACTAAACACTTGCGGCCTGGTTGCCCTTTGCGTAAGCAACGCCAGGCTACGAGCCAACACTCGACCCCGAGTCAGAAGTCTGGCATGGCACGGGGAAATGCCGACACCCAGTAGGCGCGGTGCTCCCTACTGGGAAAGAACTATGTTCTGACACACCTTTAGAAGGTAAAGGAATGCAGGGCTTAGCCCCAAAGAGTACCATACCTACAGGTATGGTGCGTGGATGCAAGTCTGGCTTGCTGGTCGCCGAGGCGAAAATTAAGGGCTTTGAGAAGCCTTGGTCGATATTGATCGATTCTGGAGCGTCTTGCAATTATGCTCGACGCCGTTCCCTTGAGGGAAGTCAGCGTTATGCTGAGGCGCTTACAGCGCATGAGGGTGATTCTATTACGGTTCGTTTTGCGACTGGAAGTCGCGTAACTGTGCCTAAAGTTCCATTGAACTTAGGTATAAGTTTTTAGACTTTGACAGTATTGAGCGCTGTCTTGTCCTAGATTTGGACTCGAGATATAATCTCATCCTAGGTATGGCTTGGCTTGAGCGCCATGAGCCATGGATTGATTGGAGGTCTAAGACCTTAGGCGCTCCGCGCAATGTTTTTAGCGAAGCTTTGAGAAGTCATAAACCCACCTTCGCTAGGCAACAGAAGCGCTATTGGCGCGAGCCTTTGACAGAAGATGTCAATGTGCTGGATATTGGAATGTCTGAGTTATCTAACTCCAATGTTACAAACATAAGTTCCGAGCCTAGCTCGTCTAAAACTAGTGAAACGGCACGTACTCCGTTGAGTGGTACTCGTTGTGATAACGAGTAACTGCATGCTGAAAGCATGGTTGGCCTAGGGCCGAGTGATCAAGGATGTGATTCCTTTGATGTGTGTATGGTGACACGTGAAACTACACCGAGTGCGGTCGGCCGTGAGAGCACCGCACTGAATGTCAATAATGATATTGTTGGCGATACGCCGTATAGTGTGGACGGCCGTGAGGGCACCACGCTTAACGCCGGTAATGGCGTTGTTGGCGATACGCCGTATAGTGTGGGCGGCCGTGAGGGCACCACACCTAATGTCAGTAATGATACTGTTGGCGATACGCCGTATAGTGTGGACGGCCGTGAGGGCACCACACCTAATATCGGTAATGACCTTATTGGCAAGACGCCGTTGAATTTGAAGCTAGGCCCGCATAATACACGTGGAGTGGAACGTTTCAATCCACTGGGTAAATTGTTCGAGTTATGAAACACTTCACCGAATGTTGGTCAGGACAAATGCTCTCGTATAGAGCGTACTACGGTTAGTAGTAACCATGGGGACAATATTTTCCCGACCCTTAAGGGGTGTAAGGTCTCGAAGAGACGATAGAGACGCCGGGTAGCAACTTTGAAGCGCCAGGCGTCCTCACAGTCACATAGTGATAATAGTAATACACTATATACACTTGCTAATGGAGTGACTGGTCAGGTTGATGGCAGTGTTTGCCTTGAAACCCTTCCATCCGTGGACGCTCTTTGTGAGCTAGACAAAATGTCTGATGGCGAGTTTAGCCAGGCCTTAAAGGCAGGAGAGTTATCCGAGTTAGCGGTCATTAGACCTGATACTGAGTTGAATTCTTCCTCGTTAATGGATGAGTCTGTCCTAGAGGATACAAAGGCGGCACTTAGTGCACGAAGTGGATCTTCAATCCTTAAAGATCCTTTGAAATCGGTTCTATCCTCTAGTTAAGGAATTTCAAGATGTGGTGTGTCACAACCCACCTTCTCCATTACCTCCCGATAAAGGTGTACGTCATGAGATTGACTTAGTTCCTGGAACTAAATACTGTGTAACACGGCAGTGGCCTTTGCCTAAAGAACAGTGTGACGTCATTGACGAATTCTTTCGTGCTAAGCACGCGGCTGGAATGGTTCGTGAGAGCAAGTCTCCCCATTCAACACCGACAATTTGTGTCAAAAAGCCAAATGGCAAGTGGCGTATTGTGCATGCTTATAATAAGCTTAATGCAGCCACTATACCGGCGCAGACGCCTATTCCTAGAAAGGATGTGCTATAGAACAATATGGCAGGATGTACATTGTACAGTGCACTCGACTTAGTCGATGGTTATTACCAACTGCTTATGCGAGCAAGCGATATTCCGCTAACAGCGGTGAGTACTCCGAGCGGTATGCTCTGGGAGTGGCTTATTATGCCACAAGGGCTATCTAACGCCCCGGCTACGTTTAACCGGCTGGTAACGCAACCATTAAGACCTCATCGAGGCTATGCACAAACGTACTTTGATGACATTTTTGTCCATAGTCGTGCAATGAATGGGCGATCAGATGTGGATAACCACATTGATCATTTACGAGCTGTGCTCGAGTGTATGCGAACGAATAAGTTGTGTGCTAACGCATCGAAGTGCATCTTTGGTGCAGAAGAGATTCCCTTTCTAGGGTGCTTCATTGGGAAGCGAGGACTTCGAGCAGATCCCGCTAAGGCGAAAGCCATAGTCGATTGGCCGGTTCTTAAGAGCCAAAAGGACCTGCGTAAGTGGCTTGGCCTTGCCAATTACTTACATTAGTACAGTGCGAATTACGCAGATATGGCTCGGCCATTGTCCAATCTCCTAAAAAGGATGTGGGTTGGTGTTGGGGTAACACAGAACATAATGCTTTTGAAGCAATTAAGAAGAGTCTCCTTCATGCGCCAATATTGGCTTTGCCCGATTCTGGTCGGCCTTTCAGTGTTGTCTGTGACGCATCTGACTTTGCCATAGGCAGTGCTCTGTTACAAACAGATGTCGACGGACGGGAACGCGTCATCGCATTTGAGTCTCGGCAGCTGAAAGCTGCTGAAAAGAACTATCCTGTTCATGACAAAGAGCTACTTGCTATGAAGTACGCTCTTGTCAAATTCAGAGTCCATCTGCTTGGCTTTAAGCCGTTTGTGATCTATACAGATCATGCGTCATTACGAACTGCGACACAGTCGCCTCATCTCTCACAGAGAATGGCTCGTTGGCTTTCCTTCTTTGCCGAAAATAACTTCGAGGTGAAGTACAAGCCAGGTAAGCAAAACGCTTTGGCTGATGCGCTATCGCGTCGACCTGACTATGAGCTTGCTCATGTTACGACTCTGTCGTCGTCAGTCCCTGACTTAATTCGTGCGGCATATGCCAAGGACGATCAGTGTGTAGCTTTGCTACGTGCTCTTGGGAGCGATGAGTTTAAAGACTCGGACATAGAATTGTCGGCACGTTTACGTGCGAGGCTACATCGATATTCCATCGATAATGGCCTGTTGTGCTGTCGCACGGATATTGAGGATAACCCTCGTATCGCTGTACCTCATGATGAGGAATTAAAGTATCGGATCCTCTATGAGGCACACGATACTGCTTTAAGTGGTCATCTCGGTCGTGAGAAGACTTATAGCTCGGTGAGCCAAAGTTATTGGTGGCCCAAACTTTATAAGTGGGTGCGCACCTATGTGCGAACGTGCGAAACGTGTCAACGGGTTAAACCCTCGGCACATACGGCGGCACCGCTGGCTAGTTTGCCAGTACCCACTGGTTGTTAGGAGTCCATGAGCATGGATTTTGTGTTTGGCCTACCGAAAGATTCGGAAGGCAACACTGGTATTGTGGTCTTTGTTGACCGATTAAGCAAGATGGCTAACTTAGCGGCTGTGACGAATAGTATCGATGCTGAAGGTACAGCAAAGCTGTTCATCGACCGTGTGTTTCGCCAACATGGCTTGCCTGTGGCAATTATCTCTGATAGAGACCCCCGCTTCACTGGGAAGTTTTGGAAGTCTATATTCAAGGTGCTGGGCACTCGGTTGGACATGTCCACAGCGGATCATCCGCAGACCGACGGTCAAACTGAGCGTTTAAACCGCGTCCTCAACGACATTTTGCGCAGTATTTGCGCTGATACGCCTAGGCGTTGGAGCTCAATGCTCCCTGTTGTTGAGTTTGCGTTGAATAACGCTGTTCATGCCTCAACAGGCTTTACTCCGTTCTATATAAACGGCCTCACTCACCCTCGCATTCCGTTAACGCTATCACTACGTGAATCAGGGCTTGGTGGGGGAGAGGTTCCCGATCGGCTTGCTGATATCAGCCCTGCTACTGTTTAAAAACAGGTAGGCGAGTTTCTCGCAACGCGATTAAATGTCTTACGACATGTGCGTGACGCAATGGCTGATAGCCAAGATAACCAAAAACAACAAGCTGATACCAAAGGCAGAAATTGTATTGAGCGTTATGAGGTCGGAGACCAAGTACTACTCAATGCTAAAAATCTACCTACAAAAAAATGTAGTGTCTGCTGTCTTTAAGACAAAGTTGCGCCCACGCTTTATTGGACCGTTTACGGTCACGGCCAAGAAGGGAATTGCGTATACGCTAAACCTCCCGCGCAAATTGCGCACACATCCAGTGTTCTACGTAGGCTTACTTACGCCGTACCGGGATCCTTCCCATGTGAACTTGGAGGCGCTTGCGCCGACGACAAGGGCACTGTCCCGGATTGCTGTAGACGAATCAGCAACTTTAGCTGAGCCTCGATCCGAGTTTGAGCTTGCTCCATCACCTGAAGGCGGCTTTGCATCGCATCCAGCATGCACTGGGACTTACCCAAGGCCTCTTGAAGACCCTTCACTTCGAGAACCAATTTATCGTGGGCCTCCACCGGTACACCGGCTGCCACCGACTTTGCTCGATGAGCATGGGTGTCGTCAATTTCATGTCGAGAGACTACTGAAACGACGTCGTCGTCAGGGCCAATACCAGTATCTGGTAAAGTGGCGTGGGTACCCTGAGTCTGATAATTCATGGGAATTTGAGGTACCCCTTCGGTAAGACTGCCCATTTGCTTTGGAGGCTTTTGAGAATCGTGGCCATGATCATCTCGAGGCCGAGGCCTTTCCCCACCACTAGTGGTGCAGGTTGGCGGGTTGTTGGCCACAGACTGACCAGCACTCGCGGTTACCTTAGTAGCCGAAGCATAGCGCGTGCGCTTGCACAATTGGCCTCTGGCCTTAAGCTTGGCACAATCATACCGAAGCTTGCGTTCGAGACGCACATCCGCCGCATGGGCACTAGCCCTTAGAGCAAACATGTTGCTGAGGCGACGCACATAGTGCACCCAGTGAACAAAGGCATCGTCTTCTTCGCTCACTGTTTCGCCTGCGAGCAGGAGAATGGGTATACCCTTGATCGGTGGAACCGGTGCACCACGTGCTTGCATGTCAAGGCGTGCCTTGTATTGACTTTGAGTCGTTAGGTGCGGCTCCAGATACCTCTCACGAAGTGCCTGGCAGCTCACCACCTCGTCAGGAGTCTTAGGCCCATGGCCAATGACCCAAGTTGCCAATGTTTGGCCGGCCGCTTGACGTAGACGTTCCTCCACACTGGGTGGGGTGAACACATAGTCACGCTGGCGTTCAAGGGTTGCAGCCATTTGTACATAACGCTGAGCGTTTTCTTCTTGTTGAACAAGCAGTTGTTGTTGCTCATCGAGCGGGTTCGTGATGATAGTCTCATCAGACCCAGATGCTGCATGCTGCGCTGGTGGCGCGCTCGCACCTCCACGTTCAGCGAACGGATTTGGGGTGTTCGAAAGTTGTGCCACAGGCATCAGTGAGCCGGACATTGTCCCTGTATCACCGCGGACACTGGTATCGCTACCATAGTCCACCTCCTCCTCTATCCCGAGGTAGTCACACAGAGCCTTTGACTCGTTTGGTGATGAGGACATCGTGCTGGAGCGTACGTTACCGTGAGGTTCACCGTACGCGCACTGTTCTCGCTAAGAACACAAGTTCGATTGACGTTTCGGCAAACGTCAGTCTAGTGGGGAAGGGTGTAACGGGGTTGCACGAAATTAAGGTTCTTTGTACCAGAGGTGTTACACACCTGAGGTTACCCCTTGGTTAAGGTGATATAGAATACCTTATCGGTTTGTAGGGGCTGATGAGTGTCAGCCATTAGGTACGAAAGATCTTTGAGTAGGATTAAGATATTCTATAAGCTTTAACAAAAATAAAATCAGTTCCCATTTTGATCTGAAGGACACGTGGCTTGCGAGCCGTCTTGATCGTTGATCACTGATCACTAAGAGCTAGCGACACCTCCTTGAGGTAGCTACTCTTGAGCACTGAGTGCTGTCGATTCACTGAATCGTTAGGTCCCCCTGGAACAGGGATCTGAAGCTGTAAAGCTTGTTGACTCGTAAAGTCGTTAGTTCTTTGGAACTAAGTTGCTCGTAGAGCGTTAATTCTTCATCTGACTTAAGGAGCTGTGTAGCTCCTCTACAATAAAATACTCCCCTCTAGGCGCTGAATTTCCTCATACATGACGCCGGAATCACGTGAATGGAGTGATACATGCTCGACCGTCGACGCTGGATGCGGTATCCCCAGTTCGGCCGCCGTAATCTCGTGTGGGCGCCCATGCTCGACCACAATTGGCCCATGTTTGAACTGCTGTTTAACACAGTGGGTGATAGTGAGAACCCATGTGAGACCTTCATGCATGAACGTAAGGAATCCTGTACGGCCACATCGCACACTTATGGGAGCCCCTGATCGACCACAAGTTGCCCTTGTGGAAACCTCGCTTCGACCACAGTGGGTAAGGATGGGAACCCTGGTTCAATTGTCATGCTTTCGCGCAGTAACTCCTGCCCATTCATGTCACTTTTGTCGATGAACTCGTGCTCGTCGTTACCTTGGTCATGTGGAAGTCCCTGCTAACGTAACGATAGGCAAATCGCTGAGGTCGCTCTCAGCGAGGGTTAGGTTCACTTGCAACACTTCAATTGGAGATTTTAGTCATGTGAGACAACTAATCGAATGGGAATCTCACGCAGTGCGTCTTTTGTGCACCGGGAATTCCAGCGATGAGTTGCTATGTGAGTAAATCGGGATTAAGAGATGATCCAGAGAAGATGTCATCAAATGTTCTTGAATGGCACACATAAATCCTGCAAAATTGCGTCAGTGTCTCGGCTTGGCTAAATACTCGCATAAGTGTACAAAGAACTATGTCTGTCCTATACAGCCTTTATCGTCACTTTTGAAGAAAGACACAAAGTGGTCCTCGTTTCCCGATCATCAAACAATCTGTAACGCAGTGCTAAATATCCTAAATTCAGCGCCAGTGCTGGTCCTACCGGACGATTCCAAGCCATTTTGACGTCGTATGCGATGCAAGTGATTTCTCCATTGGTTGTGCCCTCATGCAGTTTGATCATGTGGGCAGTGAACGAGTCGCGAGCTATTTATCACGACAAATTAAAAGTTAGCAAAAAGAACGATTTAGTTTACAACAAGGAGTTGTTAGCAATGCGCTACGCGCTCATCAAGTTCCGCGTTCACCGAGTAGGTGAACGCTTGTTTGCTTTGTACACTGATCACGCACCGCTGCGCACAGCGGTAAAGAGTCCGCACCTATCGCAGCGAATGACACGGTGCTTTCGTTTTGCTCCGAATATCGTTTCGTCGTGAACTACAAGCCAGACAAGAAAGACATTCTTGCCGATGCTATGTCACGAAGATTCTATGAAGATCATCGTACGATGCAACTTCGTCAGGAGACTGACGACGAAGAAGAAGATGCTCGTTGCGCAATGTGTTTGTCGCTACATTTAATTCGGTTCAGCCTTAAGTTGTGCTTATTAATGAAATTGTCGTGGCTCACAAGAATGATTAAAACTACGCGGACGTTATCACTTATCTTAGCGCTCCCAGTGACGTTAAGCTGGGATCTCTATTATGAAGCAAGCGTGATCATATCCGGCGTTACAGTTTGGACGGAGAATTGATCTTGTACAACGTCGATCAAGTTAATGCCCCTCGTACGGTGATCGCCAATGATATGGATCTGCGCGCTCATCATTCACGAGTACCATGACACCCCGGCTGGTAACCACCTCGGCCGCAAAAGACTTTCGAGGCTGTGTCTCGTGATTTCTTCTAGCCCCACATGTCTAATAGGGTGCGCAATTAACTTCGCACATGTGAAATCCGTTCACAAGTAAAGCTATCTACATCGTCGCAGAATTCCCTTCGACCGTTTTTATTGCAAAAGAGGACTGTTGTGCGAATGAAACTACCCAATTCTGGTCGAAATCTGCTGCTTCGATACCACACAAAGTAGCTTCCTTGTTAGATCGACGGAATGCCCGGACGCTGATTAAAACAGAGAAGAGTACGTGATCACCTACTGCCAACTACGTGCCAATTAAGTCGGCGCGACCGACCGATGCTATGGCTGTGTCGGAGTTCATATTTCGACTTCATACCATCAACCGGTTCATGCGTGATGCACTTCAGTTTGCAATCGACAAACAAAAGAAAAATACAGACGAACATGTCAGGAAAAGCATGAGCATTTTAGTGGGAGATGATTGCGTATTTTTATCTACAGGAGGCTTTCGAAATTGAGCAGTCAAAACTAAAGGCGCGAGCAAACTCGCGCCAAGATATTTTGTATCATTCAAGGTTCTCAAGGTTATCAGTGATGCATGTACGCCGGATATACCCCCGTAGCTGCTTCTTCACCCGACGCTTCTACGTCAAACAACTCGAACAGAGCCGTCCAGCTTCGCTTTACGGGTTGTCTCCGATGACGGAGATCGGAGCTTGCATGTCGACCTCCCCTCTCGTCTTGCTTGGTGCTCCAGTGACATCGGACGTGGCTGCGTTCCCGTATGTGCCTGTACATGAACCTGGTGTTCCGGGATCCTTATCCGTTCGAGGAAATCGCGGTTCGACTGCCTTATCTCACTCGCAGTCCTCTTTGCCTGTCCAGCACGCTCGAGAGCATATTCAGATTCCAGATGAGCTTCAGCCTTGTTCACTGTCTCATCAACATCGGCCTGGGCAACTAGGAAACCAGTGTTACTTTCACGAAGAACCACTACCGGTTGTCGACGCGGAAGGTTAGGTGCGCTGGATCGTGTATCGAACCGTTGATCACGAAGAACCTCCCAGTGTTGCAAAATCATCTATTCATGCGATGTGCGCATATCCAGCCGCGCGCAAATACAGTGTACGCTGGCTTGGGTCTCCGCCCGAGCAGGATACTTGGGATTCGCGTTCCTCGATATTGCGCGAGATTACAGATGTCTTTCGTTACTATGAGTCTTTGGGGTCGGGTCATCCCGGTGTGATTGCAGGTGTAAATTATCTCGCGGTGAAAGAGAACGGTGAAGCAATTTGCGAGGTCAAGAATGAGAAGAATACCGTGTTTTAGACAGCATTGAACGAGTACAAGAACGAGGCAAGTAGGGTGAGATAGATTGTCGTGGTTCATGTGTGTCATTACGACCGCGAGAGCATGACCTTGACGAGAACTGAGCATCATGACAAATAGTCGTATGTGTCACCGCCATGCCCGGAGGCGCACCACGAGAATTTGCGTCCCTTTGCTCATTCATGCTACGCTCGTACTTCGCCTTCCAAGATTTCTCTCATTCGCTGATTGAATGCTCAGCAGCTTTTTTCCCATTCGTCGCAAAATGGACGTGACATCGAGTCACAAGAGTTGCATCCCTCATATACGTGCACATAGCAGAGGAGGTCTTCATTCCCAGGGTTTACACATTTTTTTTCACGTAACGCGCCGATTAAATGATCAGCGCGACGGTCATTTCTGTTTACGAGCCACTGCGGGAAGCTACTGCGTTGTCGAGCATCCGGTTCAATTGCAAAATAAAAGTACTCCAGGAAGTCTGCAGGTAGTCATAATCGATACTTATCGTAATCTTTCCGCACAATCCGCGGAAACGCCTGAAGTAGTCCTGCATGAATGCAAGTGATTTCGGAGCGTGATCTCAGGGCAAGTCGTAAGGCGCCAAGAGGTGAGATGCTGGTCCATGGCGTGGACGGTTGCACTCTCGCTTACAGTGCTCGGAATCGATTCTGAGTTGGGAAAGGCGTTGTCGCTCATTGTCTGACGCTTTGATTGTGGCAGGAGCTGCCACGACAGTTGAGCACTCACGGTTGTTGAGTGCTGTCTTGAGCAGGGGTCATGTTATGGGCCTAATGCACGATAGAATAAACAGTTATGTGTAGGCAGGTTGTGTATACGAATAGCGGTAACAGCAGGATTAGTTATTATTCGTTCTTTACTGTGTAATTAAGACATAACATGGACCAAAAGTACCTTAACCAACCAATGAGTGGTTTCTAAAGGCGGAAACACGATCGAGCTTATAACGAAAAGGAATCTTCGTAATCAGCACGAATAAAAAAAATCTGAGGTACCTTTTTTTAATACAAAGGACTTGGGCTTGAGCTTTCTCAAGCGCGCGGGTGGGCCGGTGACGGGAAGTTCTAGACCACTTACATTAGTACTATGTAGCTGCAAATTTGCTGCTACTACGATCCCTTGATACTGCTGATCTTACTGCTGCCAAATGGCGCTAGTATTAGTTTTGTGGTCCTTTTGGTACTACTGTGCTGCTACTATAGTTGGTTCAGTTGTGAGAATAGATTTTTTTTCTACTCGTACGCCATAGAAGACTGAGCATTTAAACTATTAAATAGACTATTTTAAAATCCTTGCTATCTCGTTTAACTCTCTTTTTACTTATTTATAGGATTTACTAGTGCGATGGTGACACTTCAGTGCTCTTGAGAGTTTAGTTGGTGACGTTAATGATTTTAAACTTAATAAGTAGCATGCTGGACGTGGAGAATCATCTTAGTAAAGGCAGGCGTAACAGCACATTGCGTGTGAATGGTGATTTTGATAGGTAAGCCCTTCGTCAAAGCATCATGTCGGTACATGTGTACCACGTTAACTCGAGTGTGCAAGGATGTGGGGCATTTTTTTACTTTATCATTATCTGGGTATTTTTTTACATGATCCTACTATCTGGGCCGCCATTCTTTCAATTTCTAATTACTTGGGGCATTTTTTATTCTTTATTAAATAAACATTTAAATATTTTTCTGATGACAATTTACGCCTTCTTTCATTGTCTTTGTCCTAAATGGAGATTTTGTACTTCATTATGTTTGTTTATTTTAGTGAAATACATCTATAGAGACAAAAAGGAAGTGATTACACAATAATTATCGAGTGGTTATCTTTAAAGTGATATTGATGGTTAGATTATCTTAGCACATATATATCAATTAGAAAAAGATAAGAAGATTAATGCTTTAAAGTTAAAAAATGCGTATTTTTAAGATGCAATTACGATCTATTATCGCCAATTTAAATGTTCGGGCCCGAATGGCGGTATTTTCACTTTTTAGCGCTTTGTAACCCCTTACACTTGACAATCAATGGCTTAAACGCTTTGCTATCGATCTCGGCGTCAATACTTACGAATTTGATGGGTTTTCAAGTACAGTAATTTCGGCTTGCGGCTACTGGTAAATTACGAAACTTGCACTAGCTGAAAACGTGCAGAAAAAGTTTTAATTTGAGGTGCATTGGTCAATTAGATTCTAAAAGTAAGCTTTTAATTGCTTCCTAAACAGGACAAACCTATTGACACGGATGGAGTATAACGTTAGCAGCAATTACATTTGCGATTAAAGGGAATTGATATACTTATGCTTTAACTTTTAAACTCACAAATGTACTGAAAAAGCGATGTTTTCTACATAAGTTATACTTTTTGGCAGGTTCTAACTCAATTTATAGATTAATACTTACCACTCGAATAACCAATGATGTAATCAATATCATACTTTCACATTGTTCCTTCTATCTAGCCGTTTATAGTTTGTGGCGCTGATAGAGAATAAGCATGTATTCTGCTTCCGGTCGGTAGGCACAAGACGCCAATTTGTACGTGCTGCTGCTTTGTTGGCAGGCCACTTTCATTTAAATCTGGCCTGCAACAGATGGAACACCGATAAAGACTATTTACGCGGTAGCACTTCAAACAGCTACCATAATTTTAGCAGTAAACGATTTAATGCGCAATAAAATACGCAACGAGCTTGTGTAATTATATAAGCACACTTGTAACCTTTTTAATTGCTTTATATGAAGTCAAAGAGATTTTAATTACGCTTTTTTTTGCGTCCCAATCGCGAGAGTTGCTCAAGCTGAGAACAATGGCGTACTTGGCGTGATAAGTGCAGCAATGTGTATGCATCTGTTTGTACAATCAAAATGTTAATCCCAAAAAATAACCGTTTTGTCCGGACTGCATGTAGGCGGTGCGAAGGAGGAGAAGACAGACTTCACGGGAGGCCGAGAAGAGTATACATAATAGTTGTGGTCAAGAAGATTTTCTATACTGCTTGTACGGAAACTAAAATCTGTAGAATGATTGTATGCGGTATGGATTATAGATCAGTAGACTGCTTGACGATCACCTCGATTATGATATGTTTTACCTTCTCATGATTATCCCTTATACATTACACTAAGCAGTAAACATTCACGTCTAATAAGGTTCTTTTATCGTATGACAGTCTCACTTTCAAGATCCATCTCCTGTAACCCTTTTAGGTGCACTTCTATGAAGTAAAAGTACTATCGGAGAAGCATGTGAAAGAAACGTAAAATCGTATAAAATTTCTAAACTCTTCCGATTGTTTAACGTAGGGAAAGAAAAGAGAAGATAGGTGTCATTACCGGTTTGGCAAAAGAGAGCGGATATCAGGTTTGACAGGAAATCTGTAAGTATCAGATTTAGGTAAGATTTGAGAAAAAGAAAGGTAATTGTTGACTTTCTAGCAAAAAAGGGGCATTAACAACAACAACATCAGCACCGACTGGAAATGCTACAACCGCGGCCAACTGTAGATGGTAAAGCTACGGCCGACAATAAAATGACGCGTTTCATGTATATCTCCTTGGCGGCTGCACCCGCACTTGTTGACTGCGAGCGCAGTACGCCCGCATCAAAGTTTCTCACATCATCAAAATTTCTCCCAAGCTGCCTCTGTAGAGCGGGAACTCAGCACAACCGTTAATAATAGCAATGAAAAATGATTAACTATGCGGGTTCAATTGTCTCACATTAATATGAATATAGTAGGATGTGAATAAAATTTTCTTTTTTTCATCGTGAAGAGCATTTTCTTCCGGATATTAACCAATACCATGATGTCTAGGAATTGCTACTAAGAAATATCTAACACACAGGGTCTTAGATGTTGCAAAAAAGGGATTAAGGATGCACCCTGTCTCACCATAATACACCTCACTCCCCACCACTTCACTTGGGTCAAATTAAATGACAGAAAAAGTAAGCAAACCACAAAAATGCGACAGTAATCAAGAGTTTTTGCACTAGGGGGTACACTATGCGTACGGCATAAAAAACAAATAAAGAATGTCTTTAAACCAATCATTGAGTCATATAATTTGTCAAATGATAAAATTCTCTTACTGTTTTTCAATTCTCTTCGCTTATGACACGATTGATAAAGCGATAAGAACGAATTTGGCAGTTTCTTGCAAGGTGAAAGTGCGAGGACAATGTGCCTCAGTGAATTCTGAAGCTACTTCTGGCTGATGGAAAATGGTGGGCTAATTTGGAAATTCTACGACTGCCAGGCGTTCAGTGCGGTATAATGGAGAATCTTCCTAGGATCCACATCCCACAAATAGCATATCCTAGGGAATACCAGGTTAATAAATGCGAATAGAAATACACACTTATGCGTGATCGACACACAACATTAGACAGTTTAAAAATGAGAGTAATACACCTATGCAATGTGTGATCACATTCCTCTGATCTGCAATCGATGTTATGATCTGATATTGAGATCACAATATTCGTGGTCGCATGAATAAGAAATCTCAATACGTCATGTGAAGTACGAGACTGGTAAATCAAAGATAATACGTGATCACGATTTCGTTGTATTTAGTCGCGATCCAAAGATTCGCGGTCTCCAGAATAGGAACCGGAAGACGTTAAGTGGAGTAAGTAGCTGGTACAAACTACACTACGAATGAAGCGCAATCGCGATCCCATGTTCTTTGATCGAGATCCCATATTCATCAGTCGGGGTCCCAAGATTCATGATGTCCCGAAAACGAGGTCGCAAGACGTTGCGTGAAATAAGTAACTGCTGTATTAAACACCATCGAGTATACACAATCGCAATTGTAAGATACGCGGTTGGATGATCCACGATGGAGCGTATTGTGGTCTAGCTGTTTAGATATATGATGTGGACCACATTCTGCAAGAGGACGATTTTCATGATGGGGAATCCGTATCATCGGATCCTGAAATGTAGATATACGATGTCAAGGTTGTTTTGGTT